ACATCTTTCCCACAAAAACTGCCTCTTTTAGGTCATCGCGGAGTTGTACCACCTGCCAAGGGGCGTTTTCCTTCAAATAGAAAATGATATTTGTTGATTTCAAAATATAATGTAGCAGCGCCTTAGTGTGTAAATCTATACGCGAAACCCATGAACCAAAACAAGTTCCAACCGACGCCGCCGAAGAACTGGAAAAGGAGACTACAGTCGAACCTCCCGAAAGCGACCACCCAAAATGCGCAGACTTAGTGGTCGCTAACGGGAGGAGGTCTCTTACGAGAATCGAACCACAGGAGGTTTCTTCCCGAAGAAAACTGGACACATCTACCTTAAGGAAGATAATTTATTGCATGCAATTTCCAAGTTACGATATGTGCAGTTCCATGTTGTTGTTGTTCCAATCACAAGAGATCAGCAACTCGCCAGGTGGTCGCTTACAAGAGGTTAAAAACAATGCAAAATCATTAAACAGTCAGCCCCAATTAATGGTAGCGGGGGCTTACAGGAGAGATTCCAACTGTAAGACTTACTGGGTGGGTTTTGGTGCTTTGGATAGGTGGTCGCACATGGAGGTTCAACTGTACTCCAACAGAGTAAATCACCTTTCACGACGATGCGACTAGGATTTGTCCATGGAAGATAAGACTCCTTGTTCACCGCTTTTGAGCTACTCTAGCCAACTCCTACCCATGTGGAGTGCTTGCAAAACGTAGCATCATCGTGAAAAGAGAAGTATCAGAAAGGTCATCCTTGTCGCCGCTGGCCTATTGCAGTATGCGGCAACGAACTTATATCGACGTAAGTACCATGTACTTACCGGGCAGTAAGGCGACGCAGAGTAAAAGCGTAACTTGACTATACGTTTTTCAGTTTACAGCAGACCCGAGTTTTGTTGAAAGAAATACCTGCCTTTTGCTCAGGAGTATTAACGTCAGTAGCCGCAATGTCCCAGCTCGTGCCTTCACGCCGGAACGTCCGATCGAATCACTGTTCAGTTGATAGTTACCCTTCTCTTCCTCTTCCCGACCTATCTAGGAAGATCGAAGGGCCTCTGCTGGCATATCGGTACCATAAAAGCATGTGGCCACTCCAAGAAAGATGTATGAGCGCGAAATTCATTCAGGTGAATAAATTAAAGTTAGTATAAGTCATCTGGCATGAATAATATTTCTTTACACACAGTTCATAAGCTCACAGTTTTTTCGTCGTACCGTTAAAAATAAAGTCTGACTGTGATGAGTTTGACAACGGTCACGCAATTGCAGAATACGGTACTCCAACACCCAACAACAATTGTTGAGCAACCTTAATTTTATAATGTACAATTAAGAAGAGCTAAGATACAAATTACAAAACATTTAACATTAGCTATTCTCTTGGTTATGCTATTTCAAGCCCCAAATATTGCGTGATGCTAACAGTATTGAAACCCGTCCTTGTGTACGATAGGAATATGCAGATGCATTTTTATGCAAATTTGCCACATTGTGTCACCAACCTTCACAGCAATTTGTTATTCGTGATCAATTTTTCAGATCCTTTACTTAATTTTAGCTTCATTTAAAGGCGCTTTCATCATTTCTCCTACGTTTCGAATATACAACGTACCGAAACTACAAAGAAAAATCAGGCGGCATCATTTCTCTACCCATTTTTGACTTATGCAAATTTGTGACATTTTTCCACTGGTGGTCACGAAACTTTTTATTTTGTAAAGGCGAATCCAGAGTACCCAGATTTTTTATTTCATATTCTGTTAATATAAGAGCGGAACTTTGTCCTAGTATACATTTTGGCTAGGTATCTCACATACCAAGGTGAGTTTTTTGCCTCTGAAGTTGCTCATTTTTTAGCCATTTTAAAAAGTGCGCTTGGTGGTAGTTTTGAAAAAACCATAAAAAATTCAAAATCAAGTTTATGGTTTAAAACTTACCATGGATAGAAAGAAGAGATAGAATACTCTGAAACAAAAATATTTCTGTTTTATAGCTTTGAATCTTGCCTCGGTACAGACGCGATAAAGTAGATCATTTTTGTCTAATTTTTGCATAATTAATGAGGTAAAAACCGCTATTTTCGTTTTTCCTCATTTTCTCGAAAACAATAGATTCTTGAAAGTTGAAAATATTTTTTTCGAAGGTAGTTGCCCAAAGGGGTTTTTCTGACAAATTATCAGAATTTTCGATTTTTTTATCCTGGCCAGCGATTCTCGATATTTACAGTCATGGGCTCTTAATAATTGGAAACTGCCAGTGAAGGGAAAGTCCCAAGTTTAGGCCGTAGCACAGTAGTCGCGAAGGCGCAACAGAAAACGTTAGGTAGTAAAGGAAAGCCTGCTTGGTAAATTTGGAGCTGCACTAAAAACTATGTTTGTCCATACTTTCGTTATAGGATTCTAGTGGACATTTTTCATATACAGAAATTTTGAGGAAACCATTTTTGACGCAATTATCGTTTCATTTTGGCAATAAAATTTGAAAAACTCAACCTCCGAAAATCGTAGGTAAGCTAGTAAAACAGAAATAAAAGAAAAATTTCCGACATTCGCTTCCGGTCAATAAATCCCCGCGATTTCTATTTTCATAAGCCCGCCCGACGATCTTAAAATAGAAAATAGAGGATATGGGAACAGGCTAGCCTTTCCCAAGTTTTAGAGATTTCTAGGCAATATTTGCTCTTTTCAACAAATTTTACAGATAAACGTCGTTGGGTGCCCCTGGGATGAAAGTTCCAAACGATATAAAAATTCATCAGTAGGCATGCTGCCTCGCGACACGTCATGTATGTTATATCAAGGGCTAGGGTGTTTCTTTCGGGAAATCATAAAAATACGAGGCTTTATTTCTTAGAACGCAGAGACAGTCCCAGAGTTTTCAATTTCCATTTTCCTTTCGGTACTTCTGGTGACGCAGATTTCTCGGTGAGTAAGTTGATCTAGCCATTTACATTTCCTAGTATAAGATTAGAATATTAAGTTTCAGTTCTTGAGATGCCAACTGGGAAATATGAAGAGAGAGTTGTTTGTTTCTCAGTTTCCTTCTTCTCGCAAAGCAGAGCGATTTCTTCTTGATGAAACCAACAAGATGATCAGCAGTAGGATATATTATGATTTCTTGCGTTGTGATTTCTAAAGACTGGCAGGATCTTCTTCAAGAAATGATTTTGAGAGCTTTCCCTTGATTGCAAGGACAAATTAAGGCTACTTTAAAGCATTGCCCGCTTAATTCAAACTGTTCAGCTTGACGTCCAGCGAGTTGGATATAACCTTGTTTAAGTTTATGGTTTTATAAGCATATTTTTAACTTAAAGTGTCGGAAGATACAAAAAACGTTATTTATTCTCACTAGTAGTTTGTGAATCTTTTATGTTCATCCATTTTACGGGTCTGGGCAACAAAAAGTGACGGGTTTTTTCCCTTAACTTTTAAATTTTATTTATGCAAAGTTTTGTTTACCAGTTCTGAAGTTGGTTGATTCTCTGTTTTGTTTTGTTTTTCATGACCAACTTTCATGATCTCTTGTATCTCTCTTTTCCTGGCAGTTTAGAATACACTGTATGTCACATTACAAATCGCTTTTCGCGTTACCAATATTAATTTGATATATTATTATGGGAGCAAAATGGTTTTGTCTTTCTTGCATTCGCTGAGATCTTATAAGTTCCGCTTCATGTGTTGATTCTCGAAAATCTTCTTACAATTCTCCGATTCTCCGATTAGATGCTAAATTGGAGAAGAGTATAGTAGGAGTTGCGATCCAATATTTACTTCCGATTCTACGATTATTTCAATTCTCAAGTTCAATTCTCCAGTTTCCTTTTACGATTCTCCTATTAAGTGCTGGGTGGTGGTTTGCTAGCACGTCAGGCGCGCGATAAAATTTACTCGCCGGAGGTAAGTAGTGTAGCTTGTCTTCGACTAGTTCAGGAAAGGGATTAAACAGATTGTACAAAGACGTCGAGTTATTATTGCAAAACGCGGATAATTATCATGTGGCTTGTAAGAAGAAGAAAGATGTTGATATCGCGTTTGCGAGATGTTTTCAAGCCTACGACGAATATTATCAATTCGCCATCGACCCCGAAGTCAAATTAGATGCGCTTAATGCTTGTCACAGCATAATGACAGGAAAAAAGGAATTCGACGAACATTTTGAAGACTGGTCCCGATCCGTTCAACGTACCGTGGATAACACTTCAGTGGTTCCTCGCCAAGATTACGGTGATACTGCCGAATCACAGATTGTCACACGTTCAGTTGTCACCTCAAGTAGCAGAAATTCGAAGAGCTCCAAGTCTAGCTCACGTGCAAGTGATCGATCAAAAAAGGCTAAAGCCGAGCTTCTTCGTCGGGAAGTTGAGTTGAAGAATCTGTTAAAGCGCCAGGAGATGGAACGTCAGATGGAACGTCAAATAGCCGAGATGAAAATCAAGAAGATGAATTGAAACACCGGATTGCTTTATTGACCGCAGAAGGGGAAATAGAGAAAGCTAAGGCCGTTTATGAGCTTTATGAAACTTGGGAATATTCAAAACGTGGTATCGCGGCAGAGTTGAAACCGGTTTACAAAGACGAAACACGCGATTCCTTACCTCCTGCGAAAGACCTTCAGGTTGGACCGAGCTTTAAGAGTGGCGACTTCAAGCAAGTTGGGAGAGATTATTCTAAATCACTGCTGAATCCAGGTGCTTAACCTTGGGACCTAGGACCCCCGCAGAACACTATCGGCGCTGGAGACCCCACTGGTTCCCAACAGTTGCAAGAAATATTAACACAGCAACAAGAAGCTTTGCAACTTATGGCGTACACAATTCGACAAGGATTTGAAATGCCGAAAAGAGAGCTTTTGACGTTTGATGGTAACCCGCTTAACTACTGGTTGTTCATAAATAACTTCGAGGTCAACATCGCTAAGAGGATACCGGACCCCGAGACGAGGCGAACTTACCTTATTCAACACTGTACTGGGAAGGCTAGGGAAGCCATTAAAAACTGTGCCATAATGTCCGATCCAGAGCAAGGCTACAGGAAAGCCCAAGAAATCTTGTACCATAGATTTGGACAGAAACACACGAAGATTGTGGAAGGTCCGCAGATCAAGAATACTGACTCCACTGGTTTATTAGACCTGTCCGTTGAAATGCAGAATTGCACGCTGACTCTCGTACAAATGGGCTACGAGGCAGATGTTAACAGCTCGGACAATCTCGTTAAGGTGGTGAAGCGTCTCCCTGTTCATCTGCAGTCTAAATGGACGGACAGAGCCGGTTCATTAACCTTAGCTGGAACGGAACCTACCTTCACGGATTTAGCTGGTTTTGTTGAAGAGAAAGCTTTGCTGGCAAACACTATGTACGGACGAATAGTTGGATCGACACCAGACAAAGAACGGAGCTCTAAGCCACCGCCCAAAATAAAGTCACCGTCCTCGAAAGAAAACACCTTCGCGACGCAGTCCGAGGACCTTCCTCAAGTAAACACAGCTCCTATCGTAACTTGTCCTTTGTGTTCTGGTCAACATAGACCGTAGAAATGCGAGCTCATGAAAGCAAAGAGCCCAGAAGAAAGAAAAAGCTTCGTTCGACAAGTAAGACTATGCGACAACTGTTTTGGAAGCGGTCACATGGCCATAGATTGCAGAAGTAAAATTATGTGTCAAGTGAATGGATGTGGATGGAAACACCACACTATGTTGCACGTTAAGAAGAAGAGCAACAATAATGGCACCCCTCCTAACCATCCTGCAGTCACCTCGGAAGGGACTGGAGCGAGTACCATCGGTGGAACCGGAGAGACTGGAACGGTCGCCGTCAGCGGGGCCGGGGATGCTGGTCGGTGTGGTGCTACAGACTCTGGCAAGAAGAATGTTTGTTTGAGAATCGTTCCAGTTGTCGTGAAAGGAATGGGTCAGCACAACACAATTGTGGCAAACGCGCTACTGGATCCTGGTTCGGACGTCTCGTTATGCGATGTGAGTCTAATGGAGAAACTTCAAGTAGTTGGCCGTCCTAAGGAATTCTCACTAGCGACCGTTAATGGTGCATCCGACACTCGAAAGGGATTCGAGTTGTCTTTGTCTGTTTGAGGATTACAAATGAAAGAAGAAGTCGTGTTAGATAGAGTTTGGACAGTGGATACGTTGTGTTTACCTCAAGGTAGTCCACCTACTAAGGAAGATACTGCTAAGTGGCCTCATTTGAAAGGAATAGACTTTCAGAGAGCGCAATCTGATAAAGTGTCTGTGCTTATTGGTAGCGATGTTCCTGAAGCCCATTGGGTATGCGATCAGAGGCGTGGCAGGCGTGGTCAACCTTATGCTGTGTGTACCCCACTCGGTTGGACCCTGATGGGACCACTGAATTCGTGTGATAGAGATTGTTTCAGTGTGAACTTTGTTCGCCATGACGACGAAACGCTTCATCGGCAAATGGAGAGCATGTTTAGGAGTGACTTTAACGAGCCTATGATCTCCTCAAAGGCTGCAATGTCAGTTGAAGATCAAAGAGCACTGTCGCAAATGGAAACTTCCGTGAAGCTCGTGAATGGCCACTATCAGTTGGGGTTGCCATGGAGGCACAAGTCAGTAAACCTCCCGAACAATCGTGAATTTGCGTTCGGAAGATTGCGCTACTTAAAGAAAAGATTCCAGCGCGACCCTCACCTCTTCGAGAAGTACAGAGACACTATTAACGGTTATGTATCCAGCGGCTACGCAAGACGAGTTCCCTGTAGCGAACAGGAAAATGTGAAGGATTCACCAGTCTGGTACTTACCCCACCATCCAGTTTTCCATCCTCAGAAACCAGGGAAAGCGAGAGTCGTGTTTGACTGCGCGGCCAAGTTTAAAGGCACCTCCCTGAATGATCAGCTTCTTCAAGGTCCAGACCTAACGAATGGACTTTTGGGCGTTATCATACGTTTTCGCCAAGAACCCGTTGCCATGGTTGCGGATGTGGAAGGCATGTTCCATCAGGTGCGGGTAGCTCCCGATGACTGTAATGCGTTACGGTTCCTGTGGTGGCCCAATGATGATCTCTCCAAAGAGCCAGTTGATTACCAGATGTTAGTGCACTTGTTCGGAGCCACGTCGTCTCCAAGTTGCGCAAGTTTTTGTCTAAAGAAAACAGCCTCGGATAATCAGGGCGACTTTGATGTGGAAACCATTACCACTGTTGACCGGAACTTCTATGTAGACGACTGTCTGAAGTCTGTCCCTACGACTGACAAGGCGGCACGTTTGTCTGGCCAGTTACGAGAATTGCTGTCAAGAGGAGGGTTTCGGCTTACCAAATGGATTAGTAATGACAGGAACGTAATCGCCACCGTTCCAGTAACAGAGAGAGCGCCCTCAGTAGTAAACTTGGATTTGGAAGATCTCCCTGTAGAACGCACATTGGGAGTGCAGTGGGCCATGGAAACAGACGACTTCAACTTTCGCATCATGGATGAAGGAAAGGCCCTCACACGCAGAGGAATCTTGTCTGTTGTAAGCTCCATGTACGACCCTCTCGGGTTCGTCGCGCCCATCATTCTGCCAGCCAAGAGTCTGTTGCAGAGCCTATGTAAGCAGAAGTATGGCTGGGACGAAGAGATTTCCCAAGCAGATTCCACTGTATGGCAAGAATGGCTGAAGGAACTTGCATGTTTGAGAACAATATCAGTTCCCAGGTGTTTCAAGCCACCAGGATTCGGTGCAGTCGTCAACGTTCAGTTACATCATTTCTCAGATGCTTCTGAAATTGGTTATGGAGCGGTATCGTACCTCCGAATCGTCGACGACAAGGGTGCTCCGCACTGTTCTTTTGTTCTTGGCAAGTCTCGCGTCACTCCCCTGAAGGTAGTGTCCATACCACGTCTTGAGTTAGCAGCTGCAGTGGTCGCTGTGAAGTTGAACTGCCTGATTCGGAACGAATTAGAGTATCCCATACACGACACGATCTACTGGACGGACTCTACCGTAGTCTTGCAGTACATTCGCAACGAATCAAGAAGATTTCACACGTTTGTTGCAAACAGAGTCGCGATGATACACGATGAATCCACACCACGTCAGTGGCGACACGTTGACACCTGTGCTAACCCTGCCGACATCGCGTCCAGAGGGGCGAAAGGTTCTGAACTTCACACGTTGGAGCTGTGGCTTCATGGCCCAAAGTTTTTGTGGAAGGACGAGAAACATTGGCCTGACCAACCGTCCCAGTTGCCGGAATTGCCTCAAGATGACAGTGAATGCAGAAAATGCCCTGGTCGAACAAACGTGATCGTCAGCAGTAAAAAGTTGGAACCGCTGTTGTCCCGCTATTCATCCTGGGACAGTCTTCGAAAGGCCATAGCCTGGTTGGTACGTTTCAAGAAGTATTTGGTTGGCCTCCTTAACAAGGATCCAGACAGCATTCCTAAGGGGCCCTTGACTGTCAGGGAAGTTGTTGCTGCAGAGAGTGTGATCATTAAAGCTGTTCAGCATAATTCGTTTCCAGCGGAGCTAGCTGCGGTAGGCCAAGAAGCGTCGGAGAACCAGAAGAAGTGCGTTCCACGATCTAGTCCAATACGCAACTTGAACCCTTTTGTTGCCGAGGGAATATTAAGAGTAGGAGGTCGCCTCGAGAATGCTCCTGTTTCATTCCAAACGAAGCACCCGGTTATTCTTCCCAGTAAACATCACGTGACAAATTTGATCATCCAGAATTGTCATCGCCAACAAGGGCACTGTGGTCCTTCTCAAGTTCTGGCCTTCATCCGAGAGAGATTCTGGATTGTACGTGGCCTCTCAGCAGTGCGCAGGGTTTTGGCGAGTTGCATGAACTGTCGTAAGCAAAATGCTCGTCCTGGTGAACAGATTATGGCCCCACTCCCGTCAGCACGAGTCGCTCCGACAGATCCACCATTTACCCATGTGGGTGTGGACTATTTCGGTCCCCTCTTTGTCAAGCAAGGACGCAGTCAAGTGAAACGTTACGGATGTTTGTTTACATGCCTTACCATGAGGGCGGTGCACATTGAGGTCGCGCACACATTGGAAGCAGACTCCTTTATCTGTGCATATCAGCGTTTTGTTAGTCGCAGAGGGAAGCCCAAGGAAATACACTGCGACAACGGCACCAATTTCACGGGCGCCGAGCGAGAGCTGAGAGAAGCACTGGAGCGACTGGACCAAGCCAAAATCTACAACAGTCTAAGGTCGAACGACGTTCAGTGGTCATTTAACCCCCCTGAGGCCAGCCATCAAGGTGGAATCTGGGAACGAATGATTCGCTTCGTACGGAAGATTTTGGGTGCCCTGTTAAAGGAACAGCTGGTGAACGACGAAACATTGTCAACCCTTCTTTGTGAGGTGGAAAGGATTCTCAACGACAGGCCTTTGACTCACCTTGGTGACCACCCAGATGTTCCTGAGCCGCTGACGCCGAGCAAACTACTGCTCCTGAGATCCAATTCTTGCCTCCCGCCGGATGTCTTTAAAGGTCACGACAAGTATAGCAAGCGCTGGCGCCAAGCACAATGCCTGGCAGATTCATTTTGGAAGAGATGGATGAAAGATTATTTACCTACACTCCAAACAAGGCAGAAATGGAGCGTCCCTCGTCGAAACTTCGCTGTCGGTGACTTGGTTCTTGTTGTCGACGAGAAGATGCCTAGAGGTCGCTGGCCAATGGGCTTGATTGAAGAGGTATTTCCAGACAGCCATGGTCATGTGCGCAGCGTTAGAGTGAAAACGGCCACATCTGTCTACAGACGTGACATCAGGAAGCTGTGCCTCCTTGAAGGAGTCCAGAACTAATGAACTCTGATAAGTTATATGGCTAAGACTGCTACATTGCGAACTGTGTAATCTAAATTAAGTTAATTTTCGTCACATTTCTGTATGTTCTTCGTAGTCTATGAATTGGTTTATTTGTTGCTGGAATTACCTAGTAGCTAATTCGGGGCCGGTGTAGTAACCAATCCCCCGCCTAGTACCAGTCCGCGTGTTTACGTATAAGTAATTCGACTTTCGCGCGGGTTATGCAAATCGTAAAGTATCTTGCTCGAGTTCGCTAGCTGTTACATCTACGTTACGTTCTTTATCTTACTTCGTTCGCCGTATTCCCAAATCGTCAGGTAATGTCCTCTGTCTTCGGTTATCTCGTATTTTCTATGTTATCTGTATTTCCTACGTTATTTCCATTGTTGTAAATTAGTCGTTCCGCTCTTAATGTATTATGTTTGTTACTTTGTTTTAGAAACCACTGGCAACATCATGTAATTAAGGTTAAGAGTTCGAGTTGTTCCAGTTGAATTAAAACTCTTTTACGACTTATATTATTGCTGGTGCGTTGGCTACACCTAAGACTTTACCATAGTGGCAACTGAGGAGGAACGCTATAGTTCCGAAACTGCCGTCTTGCTTAAGAATTCATAGCAGTCGCATAGACGACTGTTAAGCAAAAACTTAAGTAAATAGCTACAAAGGAACAACAAGACATCGCGCTCTAGTTCAAAGACTCACTTATGTTAAGAAAAACTAAATGGACTGTGTGAGCGCTAAGAGAA